GAAGTTCTGGACTGGAGCCAGTCAGGTGGCTTAGGAAAGGTGCTTGTGTCATAGCATCAACATTCCCACACTCACTCACACACATACACACACACACACACACACCACACACACATACACACACACACATACACACTCTCACACACAATCACACATACAATGAATAAATAAATATAATAACGTATTAGTAAAAAGAGAAAGTTTGGGGATTGTATCTATACTTCAGCTGAGGCTTATTAAATGATGGCTGTTTTTGCTTTTATGCCTATCTGCTAGGGAGGTCTCATATTGCCTGCCCTGCCCCACCACCCTCCGTAAAGCTTTCATTCCAGTGAGAAAGGTGCTCAAAGCCGAGAGAGATTCTAATGTGGCTAAGCTAGAGAATGAAGGCATTCCACGTGAGTGTAAGCTGACTGGTGCGGGAGGATGTGCGTGACAGAGATGCCATGAAGGAAAAGCATTCCAAGGAGATCAGAAGGAGCAAAGTCCTGAGGACGGGAGCCTGGCAATGTGCTTGAGTAGGCACAGGGGCCACACAGTGACAGATTTAAGAACTAGCGTGGTATTGGGCCACGTCAGGTTAGACAGGTTCCAGGAAGAACTCTGGAGGCCAGCCCAACGTGATGGCCAATTGCGCAGTCTTTGAGAGCTGAAGATGGTGTAGCCTATATTTCTCCAATAGTAGTGGAGATTGAACCTAGGGCCTCACGCACGCTGTGCAAATAGTCTAACCCTTTCAGCTGGGCCCCAGCCTCATGCTCTTTCATTAAAAAAATAGTAACGGATTTACAAAGCATTTCTGATGTCAGTCGCGGTTCCGAGAGTTTCATTTGCATGTGCTGCTTACTTTTAAGTGTTATGCGAAACACGCTACCTTTCCCACATTTGCAGAGGATGGAAGTAAGACAAAAAAACAAGCAACGTGGTCATGTGTTACGGGATTCAGAATCGAATTCCGTCTTGCTACAGAAACTCTGCCCTTAATGAATTCTGTTCTGAATATGTGAAGTTTGAGATATACATGAACTATCGAGAATGGATATGAGGGAGGCAGAACAGTATGTTTCGTCTGTGGTTTGGGCTGTAGATTTAAATTTGCAGGCCATTATCATATAGATATTTTAGAAAGCTTGTGTCTGGATAAGATGCCTGCAAGAGGGAATAAAATCATTCCATACACTGAACTGGACTGTCACTGCTTTGAGAGAGAGAGAGAGAGAGAGAGAGAGAGAGAGAGAGAGAGAGAGAGAGATCTAACAGAGCTGTGCAAAAAGTGGAGGATCCGGGACAGATAAAAACAGGGGCCAAACATGACTGAGGGTGAAAGATCAAGGGGTCAAATTTGTCCAATGCAGCAGCTTAAGTGGTCAAGCAAGATGAAAACTGATCATTGAAAATGGAGGTCATTAGAGATCTTTGATCATCCCATATTAGTAATGCTACCCTAATTGATGAGGTTGAAAAGACTATATAACCCGAGGTCCCTTATAGCTTTGCTGAGGTAGTTAAAGATGCCTGAAGAGAGGAAGGTAGGGAGGAAGGAAGTAGTAGAAGAGGGAAATGGGGTGACTGTCCACAAATATCTCAGTTAACTACAAGATCTTCATCGTGCACCTCTTGCACGTCTAGCTCTATTAGGCACTGAGCAGCAATGAAATTGAATTTTCAGGCATTCATTCATTTGCTCAGGAAATGATTATTCATTGAGTATCCACTATGTGGTGAATAATTTGATTTTGTGTTTTTTATTTTTATTATTTTTTGAAAATGAACCATATATTTAAAGGGAAAAATGATGACTGCCTATATTTTTTTTTCTGTTGCTGTGATAGGATAATACCCTGACAAAGCAACTTAAGAGACACAGGGTTGACACAGCTGGCAGTACCAGGTCACAGCCAATCATATTAGTAGAGCGAGTGGCAGAAATCCGAAAGAACTGATTTCATTGAATCCACAGTCAAAAGCAGAGAGCATGGCCTGCCTAGGCTACCTCCCTTCTTTCCATGCAGGTCAGATCTCAGTGAGTGAAATCATCCCTCTTACAATGGGGTGAATCTTCATATCCCAGTTAACCTTGGCGCTGGCTTGCCCATAGGCCAACCAAATATCCACGATTCTTCATTAAGACTCACCTCCCAGGTTATTCTCCATTATGTGGGATTCCCCCATCAGAACTGAGCATCACAATGGTCACATTCCATTCCCAAATCTACACTGCATTGTTTTCCACATCCTTTTTAATTGCTATTCATATGTCTCGTTAACTTTTGCTTCATCCTGTTATGTTCCCAGCCTTTCTCCAGACATATGTCCTTGATACAGTAATTGTGATAATAAATGCCTTATTATATGGATATATATAGCATTGGTTAACTAGTAGCTTTATTTCTACTATTTATGTAGGTTGAACTCATAATATGCTATGTTTATTGTTATCCTTTCTATCTCTGTGATGCTGTGTGCAGCTCTTCAATGTCCAGGATACTATCTGGACCCATTGTTAACTGCCGTAACTGACTGGCTTTTAGGTAGGTCAAGACATTTTGTGTGTGTGTGTGTGTGTGTGTGTGTGTGTCTGTGTGTATGTGTGTGTGTGTGTGTGTGTGTGTGCAGGAGGGTGCTTAGGAAAGTCAGTGCTGGCTGCCAGGGTCCTGATTTTTGCATCTTCCACTTGTTGACTTCTAGCATTGAGCAAATTTTCTTCATATCTTCAACATAGCATGCTATCTGTTGCTGTGAGGGTTAAGTGAATTAATATATCGGAAACCATTATAATTGATTTATGTTTTCTATTTTGTAGGTAATCAATAAAGTGCTTAATAATTGTACTACACTAAAAAAAGTTGGTTCCTGGAATATATTTAATGAATAAACCAAAGAGTTTTTATGCTTGTTTATTATCAATAATTTTTAAAATATTCTGCATTTTTTCCTCTTTGGATCAGTGACAATCCTGTGGGAATGTACTATGTGCCAGACAGCCAGACATAAATAATAATGGAATGGGTATACTTTTTTAGGTCAATATGTGACAGGTGACCATCTCTGTAACTTCTTTTAGAGAGTTATTACAGTCTGAATAAGGAATGTCCCTCATAGGTATGTGTATTGAACAACTGATCTGTTTTGGAAGATTCTGGAAACTGTAGGAGGTGAACTCTAGCTGGATGAGGGAATCCCATCCCACGCAGCATAGATGTGACACCTCTCTCTGGTCCCTTGCCAGCTTTTTTTCCTCTGCTTCCGGTAGGCTGTAAAGTGAACCGTCAGGCCCTTTCCCATACTCTTCCTACAGAGCAGCATCCAGAGGCACAAAACGGAGCCAAGGACTGCGCTAAATCTCTCAGACTGTGAGCTCAAGGAGGTCTTCCCATGACTTCAGCTGCTCTTTCAGGTGTTTTGGTCAGCTCAAAGTAAAGGTAACTAATACATGAATGACGCTCCGCTAGGTCAGGGATATTTCTGAGGTTTGAACAGCCAGTATCTTAGTAAGTCTGGTATTTCCTGGCTATCATTTTGTTCCCACTCACGCAGGCCCTTTCCTCTTACACCCCTTTTTTCATTGCTTAATTGCTCTATCGGGGACTCGATTTCTTAAACAAACAAATTAATAAGACAGTTTAGTAGCTTGGAAGTGGAGCAGACTTAAAGGAGGTGGCAAAGAGCAAGGTTTGTGGAAAGAGACAAGTGTGTTTGGCAGATTGCCTTAGTTGGGGGGATACTCTGTGATGGGAACAGGGTTTGAAGGGCCTTCCTTTCGGGGAGGCTCTTGAACAAGAAAATTGACTCAAGGAAGGCCATTATAAAGCTCCTTGGATGATTACATAAACTGCAGTGTAGATTGGAGATGGCAGCTGAAGCTTCTTTAAGGATCCAGAGTCGTGAGAATGAATGAATAGGAAATTGTTGTCTTCTGTAATCGATTATTTCACTCGCTCGCCTATGTATTTATTTATTTTTTAATTCTAGCTTACTCGACCTGAATACCAGCTTTGTGCCTCTCACTGCACTAGCCGCTGGTTATGAACAGTGGACGATACTGATTAAGTCCTAAGGTCAGGATGGGCGCTCTCTTTCCAGTGACCGCCACTTCTAGCAGAGCAAGAGAGATCTCCTGACTGCGGACATCGCTCTGCTGTTTCTGGTTCCTGTTGCTCTATGAGCTCGGCACATGGTGAGCTCTCCAGGGTGCAGCCTGTATCGAAACACGGCCAGTAGTGTGTGACAGGTGAATGCACAGATGGAACAAGCCTTGCGGTAGTGTCGCTCTGGGCTGCAGGACCGCGATCTTGCAAGAAGCAAGCCGGTGCGCCTAGGTGTCCAGGGGGGCGCCGTACCTGCTCTGAGCTTTTGGCTGCGCGCCCGGCCAGCTGCAAGGCTAGCCCTTTCACACGCGCTCCGCCCCGGCACCGCTGGCCCACGCTGGGGCACTCAGCGCAGCCC